CAGGTGGTTCAGGTGTATCTCAGGTGGTTCAGGTGTGTCTCAGGTGGTTCAGGTGTATCCCAGGTGGTTCAGGTGTATCTCAGGTGGTTCAGGTGTATCCCAGGTGGTTCAGGTGTTACCAGGTGGTTCAGGTGTGTCTCAGGTGGTTCAGGTGTATCCCAGGTGGTTCAGGTGTATCTCAGGTGGTTCAGGTGTGTCTCAGGTGGTTCAGGTGTTACCAGGTGGTTCAGGTGTCTCTCAGGTGTACCCCAGGTGTACCCCAGGTGTATCTCAGGTGTATCTCAGGTGGTTCGGGTGTACCCCAGGTGTACCCCGGGTGGTTCAGGTGTTCCTAGGTGGTTCAGGTGTTCCCAGGTGTGCTGACTCAGGTGTCCCAGGTGGTTCAGGTGTGTCCCAGGTGGTTCAGGTGTGTCCCAGGTTGTTCAGGTGTACCCCAGGTGTACCCCGGGTGGTTCAGGTGTTCCCAGGTGCGCTGACTCAGGTGTGTCCCAGGTGGTTCAGGTGTATCTCAGGTGTATCCCAGGTGGTTCAGGTGTATCCCAGGTGGTTCAGGTGTATCTCAGGTGGTTCAGGTGTACCCCAGGTGTACCCCGGGTGGTTCAGGTGTACTCCAGGTGTGCTGACTCAGGTGTGTCCCAGGTGGTTCAGGTGTATCTCAGGTGTATCCCAGGTGTACCCCGGGTGGTTCAGGTGTTCCAAGGTTGTTCAGGTGTTCCTAGGTGGTTCAGGTGTTCCCAGGTGCGCTGACTCAGGTGTGTTCCAGGTGGTTCAGGTGTGTCCCAGGTGGTTCAGGTGTACCCCAGGTGTATCTCAGGTGTTCCCAGGTGTGTCCAGGTGTCCCCAGGTGGTTCAGGTGTACTCCAGGTGCGCTGACTCAGGTGTGTCCCAGGTGGTTCAGGTGTATCTCAGGTGTTCCCAGGTGTATCCCAGGTGGTTCAGGTGTATCTCAGGTGTATCCCAGGTGTACCCCGGGTGGTTCAGGTGTTCCAAGGTTGTTCAGGTCTTCCCAGGTGCACTGACTCAGGTGTGTCCCAGGTGGTTCAGGTGTGTCCCAGGTGGTTTAGGTGTACCCTGGGTGGTTCAGGTGTGTCCCAGGCGGTTCAGGTGTGTCCCAGGTGGTTCAGGTGTATCTCAGGTGTATCTCAGGTGTTCCCAGGTGGTTCAGGTGTTCCCAGGTGTTCCCAGGTGTTCCCAGGTGTTTCCAGGTGTTCCCAGGTGTACCCCAGGTGTCCCCAGGTGGTTCAGGTGTTCCCAGGTGTTCCCAGGAGTCCCCAGGTGGTTCGGGTGTATCTCAGGTGTTCCCAGGTGTCCCCAGGTGGTTCAGGTGTTCCCAGGTGTACCCCAGGTGTCCCCAGGTGGTTCAGGTGTTCCCAGGTGTTCCCAGGTGTCCCCAGGTGGTTCAGGTGTTCCCAGGTGTCCCCAGGTGGTTCAGGTGTTCCCAGGTGTTCCCAGGTGGTTCAGGTGTTCCCAGGTGTTCCCAGGTGGTTCAGGTGTATCTCAGGTGTTCCCAGGTGTCCCCAGGTGGTTCAGGTGTACTCCAGGTGTGCTGACTCAGGTGTGTCCTAGGTGTGTTCATCTGCCGGGGCCGTGAGGACGCGCTGGTGACGCGGAACCTGGTGCCGGGGGAGTCGGTTTACGGAGAGAAACGCATCAGCGTCGAGGTACTGGTTTGTACTGGTTTGTACTGGGAGGGACTGGTTTGTACTGGTTTGTACTGGTTTGTACTGATTTATACCAGTTTATGCTGGTTTTTACTGGTTTATCCTGGTTTATACTGGGAGGGACTGGTCATACTGCTTTATACTGGGAGGGAGTGGTTTATACTAATTTATACCAGTTTATGCTGGTTTTTACTGGTTTGTACTGGTTTATACCAGTTTATACCAGTTTATGCTGATTTTTACTGGTTTGTCCTGGTTTATACTGGGAGGGACTGGTCATACTGCTTTATACTGGGAGGGAGTGGTTTATACTAATTTATACCAGTTTATGCTGTTTTATACTGGTTTATACTGGTTTATACGAGTTTATGCTGGTTTTTACTGGTTTATCCTGGTTTATACTGGGAGGGACTGGTTTATACTGGGAGGGAGTGGTCATACTGGTTTATACTAGGAGGGAGTGGTTTTTATTGGTTTATACTGGTTTTTACTGGGAGGGAGTGGTTATACTGGTTTATACTGGGAGGAACTGGTTTATTCTGGTTATACTGGTTTGTACCAGTTTATATTGCTTATACTGGTTTATACTGGTAGGGACTGGCAGGTACTGGTTATACCAGTCCATACTGGTTTATACTGGTCC